TTATAGGTTGTAATACAGGTTAGTTACTCTCTCTCTCTCTCTCTCTCTCGATCTTTTCTCAAAGACCGCTTTCGTATCGCGTTTGATTCGTTTGCCTCGAATACTTCAAATGGATTAACGCGAACTCGTTAACGAAGAGAGCGCAATGTTAAATCGACGTTGGAGCGACGTTGATTCGAGAAAAACAAAAAAAAAGGGCACGAATCGAGGTGTTTGTTAACGCGTTAACGCGAACGTTGTCACCGTTATCGCGCAGGACACGGCGATTCTCGTAGAGCAGGTGGCAAGGGTGGAGCGCGTTCGAGTGCGGGAAAATGTGGGACGAGGCGGGAACCGATAGCCCTCGAAAAGAGGTATCGACGTTAAATATTAATTTTCCGCTCCCTGAACACACCACGAACGCTCTCTATACACGCCGACACGGTCGATAAAGCAGCCACGTAATAATCAAAAGATTAACTCTACGTTTCTGCTAATAAGTCGATCGAGGTCCGTTCGACACGGTTCGTCGTTCCATTTCGAAGAAATGGAATATCGAAGTTGCCAACGGATACAATGAAACTCGAATTCGTTGGCAATTTTCGGAAATAACGTATTTCGGCCAACGTGAATTATTTTCACGAACAAATTTAATATTCCCCCCTTCCTTCTATTTCTTGAAAGTATGCGTATTCGCGGAATCATTGGTGAGCCCCGTAACTGGAACCTGGCCTCCCATTTTCATCGATCGTGCACGTTCAAGAGTTTGCATAATCGAGATCGTTAAAATTCTCGGTCGTAGAAATAGCGAAACTGCGCGATACTCTTCTGAATTTTAAAATTTCATCGATGCTTTGACAAATATTTATTTATTATTTATCTTCGATTCTTCCGACCGGTTGACACGCGAGCGAGGCCATTTATCGAGATATATACGGAATAATTTAACGACCGTGAAAAAAATGTGGAAACGAAATTAAAGTATTACTCGCGAATTAAACAACGGAGACGGATCGTTGCCCAAGCATTTTTCAAAATTCGTGGGATTATTATTCGTTCCATCCGAATGAAACCAGAGGCAAATTTTATCGGAAGCGTAAACGATCGTGGAACAGATGCTTTCCGGAATTCTTCGATGGAAGAAAGAAAGGAAGAAAGAAAAAAAAAACTGTTCGTTCCTCGGATTCGAGTTGGATCTTTCAAGTTATTGAATATCGATGCGAGGAGAGACCAAGTTCTCGTACGAGAGAAAGGAGAGAAGAATTTTTTAAACCCATTTTTTTTTTTCCCTTACTTAATCGACAAAATGCTTTTCCACACTTTCCACGCTCTCAACGAGATTATTTATCGCTTCCTTTACCTCGCTTCTTTCTCTTTCTTTTCTTTTCATCTCGTTGAAATGTAAACCGATCGAAAGTTTCGTACGAAATTAAGGAAACGTTACCTGGAAAATTTTCCCTTCACGAATGTTTCCATCCTGATTGCCCTAAAACGCTCTCCAATTTCGTCCTCCTCGCGCCAACCACTAATGACGCTTTCTTTAGTCACATTGGATTACCACTGTGCCGTACTCCTCCCCCTTCCTCTTATCTCGATTGCCCGAGCAGATTCTTCGACACGTTTTCCGACGACGAATGAAACGATCATCATCGCGCTTATTATTCCTATATTTATTTATAGAAAAATAATTAGCTAGAAACTCGAGAATCGTCAATTACTAGACTGCACTAGATCGCAAACAAAGAAAAACAAACAAAATATTCACTTCATCCGAATCCCGTACACGCATAAATCCGCCGCCGTGTTTGGTTTCCGCCGAATTTAAAATCGTACTTGAAAATCATCGCGAGAAACGAATGGGAATAATAAGGAGACGGGAGAGTGTGCGGGGCCAGGCCAATAATAGCGGAAAGATGGGAGTATGTATGTATATACACGGGGAGTATAAAGTTTCCGGACGTATTAGCCACCCGTCGAATTAGCGTTGCGAGAAAATGCCCTACTCGGTGTCGATCCCAGGGGAGGCGGCGATCCCCGTTTCGGTCCCCGCGCGCGTTTAGGGTGAATCGAAAAGGGGGGCACCCTGGAGAAAAGGGCGGGGCCCTGTACAAAAGGGGGCCCCAAGGAAACCAACCCCTGGGTGGAGTTACCAACCCCCGTCTATATATATATATCTTGCGCGCCGGTTTCCCGGGGCGCAGAGGACGGTGTACCATCGAGCCGCGAGGATCTCTCGGTTTTTTTATTCGAAAAAAAAAAAAAAATCTTTCCGCGAATCTTTCTCGTTTTTTTATCGTTCGTCCTCTTAACGAGTTATAGGATCCTCGATTCGAACGATCGGAAAGAAATTGGAAAGTGATATATCACGGATTGGATCACGAGCAGATGAAGGATCGAGGCTGTGAATCGAAGGTGAGAGATCGTGCGGAACGACGAGGGTTCAGTGGCTTTCGGATCGTTTAGTGTTTCAATTCGAGTGTCGTCGCAACTGGAGGAGGAGAAGCTCGAACTTTCGACAAATCGAAGGGATAAATTGAACGACGGTATGTCGCGAAGTTTCCTCGTCGACTCGTTAATCGGCAACAACTCGCCGCCCGCCTACCCTTTACCGTATTACGGCAACCAATTGCCGAGTTATATGTTCAACTTCTTCAACCTGGGGTTGGGCTATCAACCGATAAGGCCAGTGCCGAGGCCACCAGCAATGCCTGTCCCGCTCCCGATCAGCCCGCCCGCTTTGGCCAATCTACGTCCGATACCCGGCCAGAGCCCACCGTCCCCTTTGAACACCTCTGCGAGCAGACTCTCGGGTAAATCTCTCTCTCCCATCGATTTCTGTTAACAAAAAAACTTCTCGTCTCATCGTTATTCTTATTATTCTTATTATTCGTAGACGTTTCAGCGGCAGGAGAATCGCCGTCGCGCAACAGCACCCCGACGCCGCCTCCCAAGTCACCCAGTTCCATCAATAACAGCTCGAAGAGGATTCGAACAGCGTTCACGAGTACCCAATTGTTGGAACTGGAGCGGGAATTCGCTTCCAACATGTATCTGTCGCGGCTCAGGAGAATAGAGATCGCTACCAATCTGAGACTGTCGGAGAAGCAAGTGAAGATCTGGTTCCAGAATCGTAGGGTCAAGTACAAGAAGGAGGATCTTCCTTCGGGCCAGAGTCAGAAATGCTGTTGTCTTCGAACGTGCGGCAAGAGGAAGGAGGGGTGCGGCGAGGATGGGGTCGCGAGTCGGAAATGCGGGCAGGATGAGGAGAGATCGGCGACGAAGAACGAGAAAATTGAGAAATCCGTGGACGCGGCGATCGGCCAAGTGGAAGAAACGTCGAGGATGGCGGCGGATCGTTCGATCCCATCTTTGCCAACCGACAACTCGAAACGATTGCTACGGGAAACGGAGGAGAGATCGAACGTTGTTGGGCTTTCGATCGGTTACGACGGGGGGAACAACGGTTTGTCGAGAGGGTTGAAGAGGAACTTGGACGCGGAGGAAACGGAGGACAAGAAGAGACGGATCGATGGATCGCTTTATCAAAACTCGACGATTCAAGACACCGTTGTCGCGCCTGTGTTCAGGGGTGTAGGATGCACGAAGCACACCGTGGAGAGGATCGTTAATTCGTAGGAGATAAGATTGGAATGGAAGGGGAGAAGGATTCGCGTCTTTTATTCGTTATTGCGATCTACGTAAGTCTTGTAAATATTGTATATATATATATATATATATAATATTATTTTTGTACTTGATAGGAAGAGAAGGAAGGAACGCTGTATACGTTTCGAGGAAAATAAAATTGATCATTGAAATTTGATCTCGATGCGTTTCCACATTGAATACCCCTCGTTATGGAGTATTACGTTCTGTAATACGTTACCTTTCTCTTACCACGATAAATAACGTCTTATGATTTTGTTTCCCTCGTGTTAGCTCATTCACGTGTATACACGACGACACGATGATCGTAATTTCATTTGAAATTTATTTCACGATAATTTCCCAATTTGGAACGATAATAAATAACGATCGTATGTAAAATACGCGTTAATTTAGAAATTTACGAAAGAATTTATATGGACGCGATGAACGAGCGACGGTCGATAAATATTTCATAATGTAAAACGGTGAGGTGATTCGTCGTGTTATTGCATAACATTCGTAGGCCAGTGAATCATACGATTATACGAGTATCGATTCCTCTGCAAAAATTATCATCGAACGAAAAAAAAAAAAGCAATTTGATCCGTTGAATAGTTTGCACAGCACAACGTAATAGTTGTTTATGTCAAAAAAAAAATTGGGAATATTTATCGGTTGTACGAATCTTCGTGGGGAAAAAAGCGTCTCTCGTTTCTCTCCCCCTACAACGAATTGACAGGATTCGAGTGAGAGGTCGTCCATCCCAATAATAATAAAACCGGGAACAAATTTTCAATTATCAATTGGGAAATATATACGGAAAAAATTCACGGGCGGAATATTTCATCGTGGATTATTCGTGATAAATAAAACACGGCCATTAATTAGTAAATATGGATACGTGAAAAGGGATTATCGTCGGGAACCCGTTACCAATTACCCCGCCCATTTTCCGATTCGATTGTTAAGCCGCGATTATAAAACGGAGAAGACGAGGGATGAAAGAGAAGGAGGAGAAGGAGGAGTAGGCAGCAAAGGTGGCAAGGAACGCAGAAAAAGGGAGAATCGGCGATGAACGGGCGCGTCATTGTCGACGTGAAATCGGGTGTGATGCCGTAAATCCTGGAAATTTGTCAAGAGGCCCCCACTTTGGGTCAAATTTAAGGTAAAACGTAGTTAATGGCGTTAAGGACGAGCGACGACGACGACGAGGAGGAGGACGACGACAATGGGCGGAGGCACTCTCGCATCCTCGTCGATCGACAATGGGACACTTGTGAGCTCGCGCTGCGGGTGACCGAACGAATGAAAACCGGCTGTCTTTTTTTCCTCCGCCACCAGGTTTCAGCTCCCATTCACGAATCCTCGACGATTCTCGCCTCGGCTTCGTACTCGGGGCCCTCATTCATCCGCGGCCAAGAATGAGCGACCGTTTAAGGGAAAAAGTCGGAATCAAAAAATTCAGTCAGGTTCGCGCGCCTCCAACTTTTCTTTCTCTCTTTTCTTTTTTTCTCAGAGAGAGAGAGAGAAGAGGTTTCAAAGGATCGGTGATCCTCTTTGATTCACCGGTTCGGTTGCGAATTAATTCGCTGCCCAATGTTTTTAACGGGGGCAACGGTTGTTTCATAGCCTGAATTTCGATGGCCGGAACACGGCCTCGAATCGATCGGGCCTCGAGGTAACGTTTCGCTATTCACCCGCCTCGAGTTTTTCCGATAAGTTGAAAAATTACGTTCGCCAGAAGGAAGAAGGGATTTGGAGAAGAAGTTGATCGGAATCGCGAGGGAAATATCTCTGTTTCGCGGCATGTGTAACGATCCACCGCTCCCTCCTCTCGTTCGTGTTTCGCTCGTTCGACTCGGGACACAAAGGGAATTGTTTTTCCTTCCTCGCACGCGAAAGTAAGAGATGAAAGGGGATAGGTATATACCGTAGTTGTAATCACATTATCGCTTCGGCATGCACCGAATTTCGTCTCGTTCTCGAAAATACGATTTTCTTGGGTCACAATCTGCTTACTCAACTTACCTTTCTACTGCGAAACAACCACGCGACGTGACAATCGCAAACAGATCGTGACGGAAATTATTGCGATCTCGAACGTAAACTTCGAAATAACAACTTTCTTTCATCGATCATTTTTCCTTTCGTTCTTTTATCCTTTTTTCTTCTTCTTTCGATCATTCATCGAAACAGATTGAAAACAGATTTCCATTGATCCATTTCCAAATGATTCATGCGAACGTAAATTTCGAAATAAAGATTACAACTACTTTCTCTCATCGATCATTTTTCCCTTTGCCCTTTTTTCTTCTCTTTTCGATCATTCATGGAAACAGAGCAGATTTCCATTTCGATCGGGTCGAGCGGGTTCAATCGAGCGCCATCGAGGCGAATTCCGTGTATCAAGGCAAATGATTCTGCGAGCGGTGGCCGGAGCAGCAATTCAATTTTCCGGATCCTCGGCCGTGTACAGGCCTCGTCACGCCTCGAATTCAATCCGATCCCGATTTAATGCACCATACGAGAAGCCAACTCCTTTCGATCGCGAATCTATCAACGCTTCGAGCAAAGTTTTAAAGTTTCGACCAGGTCGGATAGACGAGGAGAGGAAGAAAGAGGGGATGATCGCGAACAAAATTTCGAGAAACGAAAATCGACAAGGAGACGGACAAATTTTAGGAGAAGCGAATTAACGAAGGATTCTTTCTTGCGCTGTGAAAATTGATCGAGCCGCGACGGAGGAGAGGAATATCGCGTTATAGAGGGGAAACGTGTATCGCCTCATTGGCGATAATTACGCGGTGTTGATTACTATTGGAATTGTAATTAAACGGCCCGTTAACCGTATCGACGCGGCGTGGAAGACGATATTGGAATCGATTCGGAGGATGTTCTTGTCTCGCGATCGGTTCAGATGGATAATTCAACCCAGAACGAGAGAGTTCGAAACGATCGTAAACGCTGTTCGCACGTTGCTTCCATTCGATTGGATCGCGCGAGACGAGGTATCGACGAGTCGCGGTGGAGAAAAACTGTGCTCGTTCCTAGACCTATTCGGGAAGGGAAGGGAAGGGAAGGGAAACGGCAACGGTTCTCGCGCGTGGAGAAACGGCGGGGCGCGGAGGAGAGAGAGAGAGAGCGTGAAAGGGAAGGAGAGGGGAGGCGAGGCTTTCCTGTTTCCGGAGCGCTAATTCATTTCATCTTATGCGCGGTGAAGAGGCGCTCGATCAAAGTTGAAAAGAGTGAGCGCGACAGCGGCACTCGAGTAGCGGAATGGCGGGGGAAAGGCTCTCTTCGAAGAAGGGGGGGAGGTGGAAGCACTCTGGGCGGCGGTGACAAGACGAGAGTAGGAACCGTGGCGCGGCGGTGCGGGCACTCGAAAGTTGAAACCGTTTTCTCGTGTTTGCCATTGCGGACGGACAATGGCGAGGCGCGCGGTTTCAACGTGAATGCAGGCAATCCCTTTTTAACGTTGTCGCGCCACCAGTACCGTAACGAATTTTTTCTTCCTCACAAAGGTGCGCTTCTTCTCCGCGATACGCGGACAGAATTCCACCCGGTCTGGAATCACCGTGCCTCATCGTTGTTTGCGCGCACTTTCGAGTTACGATTACGAGGATTAACGTCTCCTTCTCGTGGCTCGTCCATGATCGTTTTCGAATAGAAGCGTATAACGACGAAATTCATTTCTCTCTTCTTTCTTGAGAAAATCGGGTCGTTAAAATATTTACCGTCGATCTCTTTCATCGATCGTTGATTAAACTTGATCTCCCTCGATCGTGATGTCACGCTATCGCCTCTATATATATATATATATATATATATATATTCGTCGCGAATAACCAAGTCTTGGAGCCTTCGACGATATTTTTTACCGCCCGGATTAAAACTCGTATCACGTCTCACGAGCGAACGAATACGAATCTTTACAAAGAAGGAATTATTATGGATGGTTGGCGCGGTCACGCGCGCTCCATTTTGTCCCCTCTTTCGAAACGCGTCTTGACGAAGGCATTTCGCCGCCTTACGATGACTGTGCAACAAAACCTAAACGTTTCGAGGGAACGTTGGTGGAGACGAACGGCGCAGCTTTCTCATTGTGAGGCGGCCGCATTGTCCGATCGACTGCCACTCGCCAACAACCGTAAGCCACCGCAGCTACGCGCACTGTGCTCGACCAATGACACGAGAATAATTCCGCTGCACCGCCCACAACAACACGGGCAACATCTTTTACCTGAATTCGTTTTAGAAAACGCTACACACCTCGACGATATTCACGGGGCGAGGCAACTTATACCGCGACAACTTGTCATCGATGGAAACCAATTTACTCGAATAGGGGAAAGCATTCCAAGATCATTCGTCTCGAATCGTTTCGCGTTTACCCGAGTTGATAGAATTAATCGTTCGTCCCAGTTTATTACAATGTTATTCTACTTTTCCGTTGTTATTATTAGCGGAGGAGAATTTCATCGCGAGAATTTGGACAAGCGAGGATCCGTGGAAAAGCATCGAGTTTCGGGTGGTGACCCGGTTTCCCTCAAGTTTCCCTCGGAGAAGAATAATAGAGACACGGTTTCGACGAGTCATTAGGGGATCGTTACACGTGGCAGGTGCCTTATCGCTCTCCTCGAGCGCCGTTTGATTTTCTTATTAAACCGTGAACCACGCACGCGTGTCCCACGCATCTGCGTTCTGCCTAATTCTGCCACCCAACTTTCAGGAAATTAAGCTTCGTCGATTCGATTTGTAACCGTAAAACGTGGCCGAGCGTGACGATCGTTCTGGCGCCGAAGAGTTAACATTCCACGAAAATTAAAAGGAAAAATAGGAATGGATCGTTGCGGCAAATTTGAAGAAACGGACAGAAGTGAAAAGAAAAAAAAAGAAAAAAAGAAGGAGAATAAATTTTGAATTTTCAAGATTTCAGATTCGAATTAAAGATCGTTTGTAATAATATCGGGATAGATTGACGTATTTATATTTCTCCACTTGTCTCTTTTCTTTTCCCATGAAACTCGTTCTTTCTGTTTGTTACGATCCACTTTGTATCTACTCGCGAGAA